ACAATCGACAGATTAAGCAATCCTTTATAATTACAACTAATTATCACACAATTAGTAATAAAATCAATTCAATGTCCAAATCATCGGTCAATAGATAGGAAGAGAGACGAGTGAAGTGAATGAATGATACCTTTTCGGCCTGTAATTGGTTTACGACATATTCGACCACAACTTCGTCCTCCATCTCCAGCAACGCAGCGATTCTCGTATGAATCCATGGCCTCAAGACATCCAAATTCACTTTCTTTATGTCCACCTAATCGTCACACAAACAGACAATTAATCAATCAATTCAATCAAACCACGGATTCAACGCAAATGCAATCTACACTTACTTTGTTGACCAGAATCTCATTAAACTTCAATTGTTTCAACAGTTTCTTGTGCTTATCGGCGAATCGGTTGTCCTGTTCAGCACTCGTGCCCTACAAACACATCCAAACAAACCATCGTTAGTGACAATGCAATCAACAATTAAATGGCAAATCCATTATCAAAGGCATGGGTCGGGAGCCGACACAACGGCCGGTGACCGCAACGGCCAGTTGTGGTGCACTCGAGCCGACACTTACCCGAAAAAAGCCGGCGTCTGTCATAACTGAGTNAAATGGCAAATCCATTATCAAAGGCATGGGTCGGGAGCCGACACAACGGCCGGTGACCGCAACGGCCAGTTGTGGTGCACTCGAGCCGACACTTACCCGAAAAAAGCCGGCGTCTGTCATAACTGAGTGACAATCAGTTGACGTGAAATGCAATTAATTGTGGGATTAATTGTAATCACAATTAAAAACACATTTTAATAATGACTGTAAACACGATTTGCACTCAAAATGTGACACAAATGGCGGACTCCAGGCCTCACAGCATACGTCTGCACCTCTACTCTAACGCCTTTACACTTTACGGTAGAGGTCTATGCGATCGTTTCGTTCACATAATACGTTACGATATATACCCCTTCTTAAGTCCCCCTTATTTTACACCAGTTATCAGTCAATAATAGACTGAATACCCACTCATTGTTTACACACACGTTATAAATGAGTAATATTTTGTAATAAATGTTTTAATGATAACAAAAATACAAAATTAAAAGTTTAAAAGTATTGTAAACTTAATAACAATTAACTATTAATTTATAAACAAGTGTTTTAATTGTGATTTCAAACATCGCTTTCGTTTAATCGATAATTAAATCGCGAATCGCTTTATAATAAAGTTATAATTAATTATTGTTTACAAACACTGAGTGTTTTGGTGTCAAAAAACACGTGCTTTTAATTGAATTACAAATTGATTGCCGAAGAGATGTCG